GGCGCGCTCGCATGACGTCACGGGCGGGCGTTAACGGCCGCGCGCGGGCGCCGTGAGGCCATGTTAGGCTCCGTTTCGACGGGTTTTGTTATCGGTCTTAATCGGGAGGTCAGTGAGAGAGGGTGGAAGGCGGAGAGAATCATCTTGGTGCTCCTGCTCAGCTCCTGCTAAACCCTGAAAAGGCTAAAATTCAGTACCTTCCCCTGAGTTTTTTAACCTCAAAACTCCCCCCTCTCACTACTATTTTTTTTTTCCTTCAGTTCACAACAGTTTTTTACTTCAGTTTGGGTTACTGAAATTCAGGAAAAGAGCATCAATCTGTGCCCGTATGTGCTTTTTTCCCCCTCCTGCCTTTGAGCTGAGATGAACCTGAGTGTTTACAGGCTCTTGGTAGTCAGGGTTTCAACACATCCATCTTGCCAGGATGAATCAAAGTGAAATTGCCCTCTCCTTACAGGCAATAAATAAATAAAGATGATGATAAAGGCTCCGATTTGTGGTCCTTATGAGGTTTGGCTGTGGGGAGCAAAGGGACAAGGGGTAATGGGTATAAACTCAAACACAGTTCCACCTCCATATGAGGAAGCACTTCTTTCCTGTGAGGGTGACAGAGCCCTGGCACAGGCTGCCCAGAGAGGCTGTGGAGTCTCCTTCTCTGGAGATCTTCCAAACATGCCTGGGTGCCACCCTGTGCCACGTGCTCTAGGTGTCCCTGCTGGAGCAGGGGGGTTGGACTAGAGGATCTCTAGAGGTCCCTTCCAACCTCAGCCACTCTGTGATTCTGGGTGACAGGCCCAGCTGGCGGTCTGCCCGTCTGCTGCATGCTATTAACCCTCGAACAAAGAGCCATTTGCAGCTCCACATACTAAATAAACTGACAGTGATTTTGGCTTACATGAATAAACCGAGTGGGAATAACACGAGCCTTTGCTCTGTGACTCCTGTTGGCTTTAGTTGTGGGGGCAATGGCCCTGTTAGTTCCTGCTACTCAATCTGTCAAGAATCACATCCTTAAGGAAATACCTGAATTTCCAGGTAATACGCGTGTAAGCCGCAAATTGCCCTGATCGCTCCTCCTTCATGTTCTTTGTAGCAATTTTAGTAAAAACGCAGTGGGGTCTGTTTGGTACCAATGAGAGGGCGGGATCTGTTCGATCCTGAAGACAGGGAGGGAGGCATCTTCCTGGGACTGTGATTTAAAGAGGAGGAGGAAGAGAGGCTTCTGCAGGACTCAACTTCAAAGGGGTCCAAGAAGAGGGCAAGGACCTGACTCTGCGCATCTTCCTCATGGGGAAGGGAAGAACATAAAGGAGAGTCGCAGGATTCACAGTGCTTCCTCCGAAGCTGCTTGGCTCCCTCCGCACCCAGCATACCTCATTGCTAAACTGTGTGGAGAGCTCCAGGAAAATGAGTTGGCTTTTCCTGCTGCTCTCGCATGAAGGAGTTGAGGTCTCTGGCAGGTATGGCTGAGACAGCGTAAGCCATTGTTATGAGAAACGCGGAAGAGAATGCACCCAAGGACGTGTTTTAGCTGTTGTCACCGAAAAAATACAGACAAAACAGCAGATGTTCCTGGGACATCATGAGAGAATATGGACAAAACAGCAAAGACCCATTGAAGACGAAGATAAGGACCACTGTATCTTCAAAGAACTGTCTGGAACGGGGCAGTAGGACCAAAACAGGGCCTCTGAGCCAGAATGGGGCCATATGTGGGAGTGAGTTCCGGGTCGTCATGGAGTGGACAAGGTGAGAGGACCATCAGGGGGTCTCAGAAGACCACCAGAGACCACCAAAGGGACAGAGGGTGCACAAGGGTGGGGTAGATTGTAATTAGTTCTGGGAAATAGAAAGAATATGTATGATCAGTCCTAGAGTTTAATGCATATGTAGATAATAGAGAAATAAAAGTTTTAGCAAGCACACCTTAGGGTGTGCACGATAGGTGGAGCACCCAGAGCTGCGATAAAGCGAATGCCAGCTTCTTAATACTACATTGGTGTTAAGAGGTCACCGGTTTTCGGTGACACCATGGCAAGCACAACTAAATCACAACTAAATTGCAGCACCTCTCTAGACCTTCCCTCTGGAGATGGCAGTGGGTGAACGGGGAGGATCTTGCGTTTTCAAATCATTGTTCTCAAGGTAAAATATACACAGAAAATTCCTTACCAATTGCCTGGGCACACTCACCCTGCGGTCCTTTAAGTGCTGCTTTCATGCATCAGCACTAGGATGGGAAATGGTCTCGCTCACAGGTTGGCAACACTCCCAGCATTCGCTGGGCTCCCGAGGGTTGGCCAAAAATTTCACCCATGGGGCTCGAGAAAGCCCAGGCGGCAGCAGTGCCAGGACAGCTTTTTACCCCAGAAGCTTGCAAGTAAGGTGCTGAGCAGAGGAAAAGATGCCAGTCTGGTGACTTGCTTACACAAAAGGGATCTGGCTCATATATGGTGAAGTCTATGGTTTTGCAGGCATTTTATTTTATTTGCAATCTAATGGTGTCTGGATGCTTTGCAAGAGGGGGCCCACAGAGCTGCAGGGCTGTAAATTCACAATATAAAAAGCACTTTACAGTTCACATGCAAGTTTAATCCTGCCTTATTCATTAGGTTTTGGTGACCTCTAGAGGCCTTTGCCCAAAAGCACCCGTTTCTGAGGATCCTATTTACAATGGAAAAGACAGGACAATTTTGCATTATTGTAGTTTCCATCCAAGATTAATTTTAGTCCTCATGGTGCTAGGAAATTATGTTTTTTAATACTTCTTTTTCTCTCACTAACCACTGTAATACTAATTTATTGTGTGCAGCAACCTCAGACTCTGCACAGTAACTGTCTTTGGTATTGAAATTCTCATCTTGCAAGAGATTTGTTTTGTGCTTTGTCTCAGTAAGGGAAGATCTGTCTGACTTACTTGTTATCTCTACAGCATTATTAGCTAATGCATGGTGCACTAAGTCTGGTTGTTTGCACACAGATATAGTCTACATGATGAGGTGCATGTGTTGAGATGGATGTGTTTAAATCTTTGCAGAACCACAACATTGATGAACACTACTTACAAGGGAGTGTTAAAATAATGTGCCAGTCCCCTTAGATTTTAATTTGATCATCTGACTTTTCTGGAAAAAAAATATATTTTTTCAGCTGGTAACAATTGGGAAAAAAAAAAATCCTAGAACTCACCAGATTCAGAGCCAAGCCACACTGTGTGTGGGAAAATCACGTTTCTCCCCAGCATCATAAAACCATCTTAATTTACAGAAAGGAGTGTTGTAATAAATGCTTAACAAATGCCTAAACATCTTATATAGAGAGATAAGTTTTTTGTTTCATACAGTTGTTTTAATCAGCCAGATAATAGGGGCTGCTGATGAAGAAGGGCAGAAATGTGCTAAACTAATTTTCTTTCCTCTTGAGCAGCTGAAATACGGGATTGAAACAGCACTAACACAAGGAACTAACAGAATTGAAAGGAGAGAAGCAAGAGCACTGAGCCACTGTCCAGAGAGACACTGGGGAATTCACTGACAGCGGCTCCCAGACGTGGAGAAGCTTAACAAGAAAAGGAGAGAAAAGCTGGGAGAAGTGGAAGGTATCTTCAGCAATTCACAGCTCAGAAAAAAAAAAAAAGACCCTCTTCAACAAACTTGCAATCTCACTGTGATGTCTGGGATTCCTCCCAAAGGCTTTTGTTTGAAGAGCACCCAGTTCTACTTCCAGAGTTATTTATCACTTGCTTTTCTTTCTCTTTTCCCCCCACCCCCGTATTGTTTTTCCCTTTTGCATTTCCTAATGGACCTCCTACCAACATCTTAATGACAGCATTTGTTTGGTGACAACGACAACGTCCCTGGAGGCTACAGCGAGGGTGGCTTGTGTACCCAGCTTGGAAACGAAATACAGTAGGATAGAATTTGCTCTTCCTTGTGACCCATAAGAGGGGGAGGAAAAAGTTCGTGTTGTGATATATTTTTTTCTTATTTTATAACGCTGGAGAGTGGCTCTTTAAAAAAAAAAAAAGAAAAAGAAAGAAATTTTCTTTATTTTCTTGGTTTCGTTTTCAGAATCTCTTGCCTTGTTTTACCTCTGTAGCCAACAAAGCTGATGGCTGTTAGCACATCATAACAAAGAAAGGAAACCTGAGCTATTGAGGCGGGAATTTAAAAAATGTAGAAGGGAAGAGATTAAAAAGAAAAGTTACTATTCAGATTGCTTTAAAAAACCTTCAAAGTCTCTTTGAGTCAAAATATGAGAGAAAAATCTCCATTTGTTAAAGATCTGTATTTTCCTGTATCTTCCCAATGCAGCCTACAAAACTCAGTTTCTTTGGTCTTCCAAGAAGTCCTCTAGTGAAAGAAGGCTAGGGGGAAGGAGGGACAGAACTATCATTTTGGTATTTGTGGGATAAAAAAACAAACTCTAAGGCCACTTGCATATGCTTTGCAAAGCAGTATGAAGTTAGGGAAAAAAAAAAGCATTTTGAATGTAATCACCAGTAAATGCTGACTCCATTTAACATGCATGCTTTTTTTTTTTTTTGGTTTCATACAGATCTGCTGGCTGGAAGCTTTTGATCAGCAGCACAGCACTGCTCATCAGAAAATGGCAGGTACTTTCCATGGGAAATAATTATCTGGATGAAAGCTGTTTAATTTTTCTAATTTCTTAACAAAAATGAGAAGAAAAAAACATTCTTTCCTTTTTACCAAGTATAGTTTGTTCTTCTGTTTTCAGAGATTGAACAGAAGGGGAAAAGAAAAGCAAGCAAACAAAAAAGGGAAAATAGAAAAATGAAACTGTTCCTCCCTCCAAATAACTGTTCTTTTTTGCT